TCTTCCACAAAGCATCATGTTTGCCCCACACAAACTCTGGGCAATGAAATACATTACCTTGTAGAGGAAAAGCAAGCTCATTAGTTGATGCTTAGATAGGTCTCTAATTAGCCTCTAACATAATAATTAGTATTTATAAATTGATTGGGAAATATCATAGAGGGTGGGGCAAATGTAGGTTTATAGTAGTTCATATGGAAAATAATACAATAATTAGTAAGTAATAATATAAGAATAAACTGCATTTCACATACTCACAGCTTTAAACCTACTTTTGCACCACCCTGTATGCTTTGGAGAGAGACCTTGGAGTGATATTGAATACTGCAGAAAGATATAACAAGTTCTTATTTAATTCCACAAAAGGAAATTTACTACAGTGAACTGTGTGTTATGAAAAAAGTCCATAAATTTTCATTAAAAATATCAAAATGGAAATCAGGAATATAAGAATATAAAAAACTCAGAACATTCAGTGAAAAAATTAAAATAATATATTTCACATTCCACGAGTGAAAAATGTTTATATACCACAAAGTTTAGAATGCCAGAAATAAGAAATAAATTCATATTAGTGAAGGACAAATAGTTAAAATACTGATGAGTTTTGAGAACTAGAACTTAAAACAGGAATAACCATAGGAGAATAAAATACTCTCCATATAAAAAATTATTAATGAAAATATTTATACTTACGATACTGTGGTTGAAGACATGCAAAAAGTCAATGCATATATTATATTAAATCTTCCTCTTTCTATATCAAGTATATAATATTACACTGTGGATTTATGTCAAAACATTGACTTAAGGAAAGATGATTGACAGATGTAACAGAGCAAAGTGCCATTTTTTCCCATCAATGTAATTCTTAATTTGATTAAACTGATTGAGACAAATGCCTAAAGCATTGTATTCAGAATGAAATACAAGTAATACTTCAGTCATTTAAAATTCATAGAAGCTATTATTCCACCACCATATGATCTGTCTTGGTGAATAGTCTATGTGCCCTTGAAAGGCATGCATACTGCTTTCATGGGTGTAGTCTTCTATGTTAGTAAAGAGAATTTTGCTGTTAGTGTTGTTTATATTTTTTGTAGCCTCACAAAATGTATTTCTTCTTATTCTATCATTTACTGAGAGGATATTGTTAAAATAACTTGGGGTAATTGTATATTTATCTATTTTTCCCTTAATTCTGCCAGCTGTTTACTGCATGATTTTCAGTGCCTGTCATCTGTTGCATGTGTGTTTAATGTTGTTATGTATTCATAGGATATTGCTAATTTCATTATTATGCAATCTCCATATTTTCTTGTCATGGTCTTTGTCATAAAGTCTACTTTGTCCATTGTTATCATAACCATACCAGCTTCTTTATGATTACTGTGTGTGTGGTAGTTCTTTATTTTCCCTGGTTCTTTTGAAACATATGTTTTCAAATTGCCTAAATGACAGAATATGATTTGGCTTTGCTCCTTCATTGCCTTTTCATCTGGGCGCTCATGCAATTTATGCTTAGTTAGATTGTTTGTGATAAATTTACCACAGTGCTCATTGTTTTCAACCTCTCTCTCCTGTTTCTGCTCTGCTGTTCTTTTGTCTTGCCTTCTTCTGGGTTAATTAAATAGTTTCAGAGTCCAATTCCATTTACTCTGTGCTTTCTTATCTATGCTTTATTGGTCCAGTAATAGTGCTTGAGGCTTATAAAATGGGTTAGTTGTGTATCAGACTCTATTTTGAGGCATTTTTTCTATCTTGTCAAATTTCACATTAAGTATTACAAAATTATGAGCTCACCTTATTCTTCACTCTTCATCCCTGGCATTTCTTATTTCCTATGTGAAATTTTCTAATTTTCTTTTTTAACATTCCCACTTTCTAAGCATAACAACCTTAGTATGACATAAAACTATATACCCTCTTATTTTTATAATGTAGCTTATTTCTATATATGCTCTAAATCTCATTTACAATTTTATAAAAATTTCATGGAACAAAAATTTGCTTTTTTCACACATTTTACAAAGAGAAAGCACACAGACTTTTATGGATGCCTGCATATTCATTAATTCCTTTTTGTAGGTCTGACTGCAATAGGTGACCTTTCTCTTATTCTTAAGGCACATTGATCCTCAGTCCATGCAGGGAAGCTGTGCTAGTGACCAATTATGTCAGCTTCATTCAAATTTAAGTAATATTCTCATGCACAGGTCTCTAAGTCACTGATTATTTTTATTCAGTGATTTTTGGCACAGACACTCCTTGATTCCCTAACCCAGTGATGGGCAAACCACAGCTCCTGAGCCACATGTGGCTCTTTGGCCTCTTGAGATTTTAACAAAGGCCAGTTTAGGAGTATCCTAATTAAGTTAATAACAATGTACCTACCTATAGAGTTTTAGTTTAAAAAATTTGACTTTCAAGAGAAATTTCAATCATTGTACTGTTGATATTTGACTCTATTGATTAATGAGTTTGCTGACGACTGCCCTAACCATTATTCAGATTGCATGTTTATTCATCTGCCTTTAAGCTCACTGCTTTTGTACTGGCATGTTCACTCAGAGGAAAAAAAAATGTTTTAAGATTTTGTATTACTTTCTAAGGGGGAGAGAGAGAGAGAGAGAGAGAGAGAGAAATATCAATGTGAGAGCTAAATAAAGATTGGCTGCCTCCTGTATGTCCCCTACTAGATGGAGCCTGCAACCTGGGCATGTGCCCTTACCAAGAATCAAACTTACATTGCCATGTATGGGACCAGTCCCAACCAACTGAGTCACACAGGCCAGGGCAACTCATAGAAGTCTGTATTTCAATTACTTTGCTTCCTGGTTCTAGACCTGCCATTTGGTTTATCTTTTTACTTTATATTTATTTGATTTCTCTTATCAATTCATTTATTAAAATCATTTTATTTTATTTATTCTTTAAATAAAATTATACAAAACTTTCACTCTTCTAAGTTCTACGTCTGAAACATGGTGGGTGTGAATTCTACCAATCATGGGATTAGTATGAATTGCAATTTTTAAAATTTGCATGCCTAATGATGTTAGATACAGAGCATTTTAAATTATGCTTTTAAAGTATTTCATATTGTTTTATCCTCAAGGAGTGATGGTGTTTGTTTTGTAGGAATTCAGATGGTGTCTGAAATGTGTAGGTGAATGTGCAGGGTAGTTTTAGGGAAACTCTGAGACATTTCTGAAGCTGCTCTGAAGTTGGCAAGAGGCAGGGCCATAGTGTGTCCCCTGCACATCCTGATGGGGCTGGGCTCCCAGCTTTGTCGGGATGGGGTTAGAATAGGGCTACTTTAGTGCAGCCATTCTCAAGAGTAGAAAACCATTTGGAGAATGGGTTTGAAAATAAACCAGGTATTTTTTATTCCCCCTTGAAACGTCATTGTTATAACTTAAAGTTACTGAAGGACAAATTATATTTATTCAGAAGGGTATTTTGCAGTTTCTCAAAAATGAAGAAAGTGAGCTCACTGTCACTGCAAAAAAATAACTGACAGTGTTTTTTTTTACTGATACTATGGGAGAAATTTGAAGCATAAGAGTAAAAAGAAGAAAGAGAATTTGAAAGACTTTTATCTGCAACCAGAAGTTTGATACCTTTCCCAAACTGATATTTCTTTTGGGAGTCAAAGAGCTATTAGGAATGGGAGTATTTTACACTGTGTAACATTTGAAAGATATCCAAAAATCATTGAGCCAATATTTTACTCAGTATGACAAAACCATGTATGGGGGAAATATTTATTGATATGGTTCCAACTTTTCCTTTGCAACTAGTTTCTAAGAAAACAATCACTTTTTTTTGGAGGGGGCGGGTAAAAACAAAAATATCTAAAATCACCAGATAAGTATAATATTTCCCCCCTTTAAGATCCTATATCTGTGTCAAGTCATGTTGTCCTTGTATATTTTTACCAAACATTATCTCAAATCAGACTAAACAAAGAAGTCAGATGTGAGAATTCAGCTGACTTCTATTTAGCTATTCATTGAAGTCATGCACAAAAAAGTAAGACAGTAGCCCTCTTCTCATTACTCTCAGTTTTGTTTTGGAAAATATAATTAGTTTCATAAAATTAAATTGCCTATATTTCTATTTGGTGTACTCTTTTAAACAGATGAATAAGTAACTGTTTTTGAAATGTTTCCATTTTAGTTTTGAATAATGCAACTCTCTGTGTCTCAGGTGAACGCTGATGGTGTGGTAAGGGGTGGCTCTCTGGGAGGAAAGAGACAGAAAACCACCATCCACTGACCTGGGGCTGCCTCAGCTCTGGTCAGTGTCAAGTGTCCCCATGCAAGCCTGTGTTAGGTGTTATCTGATAAGTTCTAGGCGGTTATGCCTTGCTCATTTGGAACCCAGCCTGTGGCCAGGAAGCCAGCTACCTTTCTACATAGCTAACTCCTCTCTGGTACCCACTGCACATGCTCCACAGTCTCAGCTGGCCCAGGCTTTGATCTCTGCCTCCTGCATTCAGCAAGACTCCTAAGCTCTGCGCATATCCCAGTTTTCTGTTTTCTCTTCTTCTGGGCAGGAAATTGCTCTGAAGCGAAGAACTAAGTGAAATTCATCCAGTAATTACTGACATGTGCAAATATTAGCCACTAGCTAAAGACCATTTATTCATCTACTTTGCCTCCTTTTACAGTTGATTTTAGGGAGGGTGATTATCTGAGACCTCCAGCATAAGTCACCTTTTTCATTGAAAAGTTAATATCTGGTGCCTACTCTCATTCTTGTACCATTATATTTCCCGAATTTATTATCAAATTATGCATGTATATATGCATAAAACACACAGCTAAACAAATAAGACAATAATGAGCCCATATTTATTAATGTGATAGTCTCTCTGGGTCTTTCTCTAACTACAAAGGAGCAATTGGATTGGGAATGTCAAGGATGATTTTCTGTGATTTACATTTCTTAACTGAGGTAATAATGTCAATACTGTAAAATCCATTTTTTTAAAAAAAAATCTGAAACACTTCTCAAGTTTGTATGTTGTCATCCTTGTGCAGGGGCCATGCTAGTCTTCTTTGTAAGGTACCAATGTTAGTATAAGTACTGCTGAAGTGAGCACTAAAATCCATCTTTTAATGTCTAGTTGCTTAGGATGTTGAGACTCATAGAGCCAGGTACCCACCAACAGTCAAGATATGATCATTTTAATCTTTCATTTCTATTTAGTATATTTACCTATTTGTATCAGTAGCCCAACCTTTTTATAGATAAGTAGTATTCCATTGTAAAGATTATAGTTAATTTAGCCACTCACAAAAAAATGGACATTTGGGTTTTTGTTTTTGTTTTTTTCTATTTTAGGGAGATTATATATGGAGAGTAAAAAGAAAGTACAATTTTTTGTGTAAACATATGTTTTAACTGCCTTATGTAACTAACTAAAGGTGAGAATCCTGAGTCACATGGCTAGTGTATATTTAAATATTTAAAAAAAATTACAAGTTGTGTTCAAATTGCTATTTCATTTTGCATTCCCAACAGCCTACTTCAAGAGTTCTATTACCCCACAAACTCTTCATTCAGCACTTTTATTGTTAAAAAATTAATTTTAGGTATTCATTATTGTGAAGTGGTGTATGGTTTTGGTTTTAATTTGCATTGCCCTAATGGTTAACGATGTTCGGAATATTTTTTAAAAAACAATGTTTAATTTGATTGAAGTTTATATAGTTTTCCTATTATCCAGACTTTATTTCTGCTTTGATGTTTATTATTTCTTGCCTCTTGCTAACTTTAGGCCTCTTTTGTTCTTTTTCTAATTCTTATAAGTGTAAGGCTACATTGTTTATTTATGATTTTTCTTCTTTATTTGCATCAACTTTCCTACTAGTATTGTTTATGTTGCATCTTATAAGTTTGGTTTGTTGTGTTTTGTTATCTGAAAATATTTTCTAATTCCCCTTTCGAGTTCTTCTTTGAGCCATTGGTTGTAAACGAATGTGTAATTTCTGCATTTTCCAATGTTTCTTATCTTACTGATTTCCAGTCTCATGCCATTGTGCTCAGAAAATATATTTTGTATGATTTTATCCTGTTTAAAATTTGTTAAAACTCATTTAGTGGCCTAATGTGTAATTTGTCTTAGGGAATTTTACATGCACACTTGAAAGAAATGTGTATTCTCTTGCTCTTTGGTCATGAGGGATGATTATGAAAAATTATACTCTAAAAATTGGACAACCTAGGAAATGTGAACTAATTCCTAAAAACATGCAACCTACAGCCAATCCTATCTAATAAAAAAGTAATATGCAAATTAATTGTCACTCTGCAACAAAAATGGCAGCCCCCATAGCCACAAGATGGCGGCGCTAAGTCCCCTCAGCCCCGCTGCTGAAGTGTTTGGGTCTGTTGGCCCAGCCAGGGGTCACGGGGAACAAGGGGAGAGATTGGATCTGCCCACTCCAATGGTGGATCCAGCCTCACTGGTCCCAGGCTCTGGAAATATCTGGGCCTGTCAGCCTCTCCATGAGGGTGGATGCTGTGTCCGGGAGGCACAGGCAAGTGGGTGAGGAATTGATTCTGGGTCTTTTGGCGCAGGAGTCTTGGTGCTATGTCCCAATTTGTGCTGGCCCAGACTCTGACAGCAGGCAGGAGGAAGTCCCACCCCCACAGAATCAGCCAGAATCAGCCATTGGTCAGACAGCTCTCAGTGGCCTGACAGCCATCTGACAGCAGGGAGGAGGAAGTCCCACCCCTAGAGAATTATCTGTTGGTCAGACAGCTCTCTGACACCTGACAGCCAGGTCTCTCATTCACCTGACAGCAGGGAGGTGGGGCTATGTCTAAATATCTACTATTGACACAAGGTAGCTCTGTAGCTGAAAAAAGCTGGTATTATTGACATAAAATGTCAAGACCAATGTGTGTCTGATCTTGAAGACAGGCAGGTGAGCAGTTGGGAGCCAGCAGCCTTGGATTTTGAGAGGGATGTCCAACTGCCCGTTAAGGCCCAATCCCATGTCTGGGCCTAAATGGGTAATTGGACATCCCTCTAGGGGTCCCAGATTGGAGAGGGTGCAGGCTGAGCTGAGGGAGACACCCCCTCCCAAGCATGAATTTTGTGCACCAGGCCTCTAGTGAATAATAAAGAAATAGAAAAATCTGAATAGACAAATAGCAATCATAAAAAAAATCTTCTAACAAAGAATAGAAAAGAACCAAATGGCATTACTAGTGAGTTCTACCAAATATTTAAAGGGGAATTAACACCAATACTTCATTTATCTGATATACCTTATTTGGGGAGCATTTTGTGCCCTTTTCTTATAAAAATATTTGAATAATGTTAATATAATATCTTAATGATATTGTGCAGAATGATAGTCAGCACTTATAAACAGTGAAAGTATTTATTAGTTTTGTTTTTTTTTAAAGACCCAAACCAGAGCAGGTCTTCATTTTTGCATTGGGAATAACAGGATTTGCTTTCTCCCTCTTCCAGGAGTTCAATCCCTTCCTTTCAATAGGAAGAAGATAGGGAAAAGCTCTATGATCTTTCAACAGTGGCTAGTTGCCTCCTGTAGGCTTTATCCTTGAGGGAGGTATTTCAATTTCTTCCCTCCCCATTCTCCTGGGAGTGCATCATACTAATGTGGAGTGGAACCTACGATCATGTACAATCTCCGCTGTGTCTGCAGATTTTAAAGCTCTGTGTTGAAAATATGCTGCTCTTAACCTTTAGCATTTTTTTTTAATTTGCTAAATAATAGAACTAGATTTTTGAAAGGCATGTAACACTTTATAAATAGGAATAAGGACTTAAAAATAAAGAGGTATAATGTTCATGGATTATAAATCTTGATATAATTAGGATGCCATTTATTATCATTGTGTGCTATAGACTCAATATCATCTTTATAAAACGCCATCAAATTTATACATACAATTTGAAAAAAAAAGATTCTAAAATACATCTGTAAATGTAATATCTGTGCAATATAATTCCTTTTGCATTGGATGAATAAAGTTGAAGAAAAAATAGTATAAAGTTTCAAAATTTAGAGAAACAGTCCCAAATATATATTGTTCTTTGGTTTTCAGAAAGAGAGTGCATGGTTTATAATAGGAAAATGAAAATCATTTTAAAACATGGTGGAAAGACAAATTTACATCTATATGGGGGTGGGCAGGATTAATCTTTATTTACACCATAAGAAAAATAAATAAATTGGAGGAGATACACAGACACAAATATAAAATCTGAAACTCTGACTTACAGTAAAAAATATAGAATAACTTAAAGGTCTTCACTAGTCTGATATTTCTTTGGACACAGAGCCACTAGTAAGAAAATAAGAGGTAGAATTTTATCAAAAATTTATATTAAGGATTATTGCCAAAACATGTAAAGAACTTTTACAAATCAGTAAATAACAGACAAAAATTAATTTGTAAAAAAAAAAAAAAAAAAAAAAAAAAAGCTAGAAATGGAACAGGAATCCCAGATATGAGGTTATCCAACCAGCATTTTTAGATTTGAAAATACGTTTAGACCATTAATTATAAGGGGATGAAAATTAGAACATCAAATCCACTGTACCCACCAAAATGGTTAAAGTTACAAGTGTTGGAGAGAATGAGAAACAACTGGACCTCTCAGACAGTGACTGTAGGAATTAAAATGTACACTGGGTCTAGAAAATCGCTTAGCAATTGTTAATAATGTTATAGATACATGCCTCCTCTACATTTCACTCCTCCTACTCCTAAGTACAATAAACAAGAGAAATTATTTCCAAGTGATTGTACACAATATTCCCAGCAGCTAAAAGCTAGAAAAAGTCCATAAATAAATATTTTATATATTCATAAAATGGTCTAAAATGTTTTATAGTTAAATTTTAGGAAAGTGCAGATGAATGCATATCTTTGCTATAAAACTGTTGTAAAGTAGTGGATCTGATACAAAGCATGAACAACAGTGGTGCAAAATACACTCCTGAGCTATAAAAATGGCAAAATTGTCTATGTGGAAAAGTAGTGGTCATGCACTGTGAGCATTTGTTAGGGTTGGTTAGGCAAAAGTAGTACCATGTTGTCTTAGCTGAGAAGACACAATTCTATATTTTCTGGGCAAATACAAAGGATATGGCAAAAGGATTTAGACTAACCAGTTTAAGAAAACAAATCTGAGTTAATTATATCCAAAGTTAATATAAACAATTAGCAAAGAGTGAGATTAAAGAAAGTCTAGTCTTATGTGGTTGTGAGAGAGTGGTATTGATTTTAAATAATTCCTATATATTTTTACTTAATTAAATAGCTATAATGCCCATCTTTTTAAATGTCTACTATATTTTGAAATACAAGTCAACTTTCTCTCTCACTGATACATAAATGATAGAAAACTATTGGAATACACCCTAAAGTCTGAAGCAATTTTATGGTAATTATTTCCTAATATCACAAAGAAAATCACTGCAAGTATCTACTATTACAGGTAGCAACCTCAACTTGTTTAGTAATTGAAGGAGAGTTTCAATAGTGCATCACTTTCTTTATTAGCTGGTGAGAGGGTTATGGCAGGGCTTTAAGAAAATGTAAAGAAAACATGTTACCCATGTCCTAAAGCATTTACAATGTAGTCTTGCCAAAACCCTGACAGAACTGAGCCATGGCATCACTTTGATTTGCCAGGTATTTAATTCCAATCTGTAAATGCTTAATCTTTTTTGTGGTTTATCTCTTCCTAGCCTTCTGGTTGGTTATTTTGTTTTTTTCTCCTTTTTTATTGTATTTCTTCAGCTTGTCTATCTTCACTTGCTGTTTTTCCTCCTTGCTGTGTTTCATCTCACTGTCTAATCTTTTTTTGCATTTATTTTGGAATTGGTGCAATGTTATCCATTGATAAATGTTAAAATGAAAAAAATGAAAAAGTGAGTTGGCGGATTATTGTACATGCACAGTATTTTTTTTAAATCTACAAGAAAAAGAAATAGTATTCTTGGAGAATAAAGGCCTTTTCAATACTCTTCTTTACCACAAAGAAGACTGTATGATAAAATGCCGAGTGCCAGCAAAGAGAGGAAAAGAGAGACACAGAGCAGCAGCTGGTAG